ATTTTTAGCTCAAATCAATTGCGAACATCGAATGTAAATTTGAAGAAGAGCATTCTGTTTATCCATGTCGTCAGTGGATGTGATACTACTTCAGCATTTCGTGGCAAGGGAAAAGGCAAATTTATTTAACTGTTGGAAAAATGTGGCGAAGTCTCTTGTATTGCTGAGAAATTTGATGAAACCGACTGCACTCAAGATGAGCTTTGTCAAGCGGGTGAGCAACTCGTTCTTTCGCTGTATGGTGCTGAAAAATCAGTTACTGCTTTGAACAAATGCAGATTTCAATGTTTTAATCGTGCTTTGGCAAGGCAAAAACTGAGGTGAAACTGCAAACGTTGCCTCCAACTTCAGATGCGTGCAAACAACACTTCTTACGTGTATATTATCAAGTTCAACTCTAGAGAGGAAGAAAACGGAATCCCAAAGAATGGGGGTGGAAATCTTCGGAACTCAGGCTTCTCCTTGTGCCTATGCTCAACCCGCCTGACCCCCCCCCCAAAGAACTTTTACAAATCATCTCATGTACATGTTCGAAAGGCTGTAGTAACCGCTGCTCTTGTAATTGAGCTGGTCTACCATGCAGTGACATTTGTCTACATTGTTCCGGCTTGGGATGCAGCAATCAAGCAGAAACACTGATCGGAGAGGAAGCAGAGGATGAATTTAAACTCCCTCTTTCTATATTTTGTATCAATTCATTTCCTTTTAGTTACTTTGAAAAAGGAGGATTTTTTGACAAATTTAGTTTGAATAAGAAATCATAAAATAATAACATTATCTTCAAGCGCGACCGTTGACATTTGTTAACTATATACAACATGCATGACCTAAAGGGGGGGGGGGTTCATGATGAAAGGAAATTAGCACATATTTAAATGGATAATATGACTCACCCTCGCGGTAAATCTACCAAAAAAGTGAAGCCGTTTCATCTTGGACCGCAACAATGCATGACGCGGCCAAGCCGAGCCTCACCGCGTAGTAGTCGCCGTTGGTTCGGACCGCATAGCGCTCCGGGGGCGGACCCCCTAGTGAATTCATAAGCATTTTAAGCATGGAAATTTCATGCTCTTTCATTCCGGTGAGATCACTTTTTTGCCTCAGACTCGCCGTTTTTAAGATAATTACAGATTTTGTTGAAAAAACGTGATTTCTCGCAAGATTTGACTTTCCTAGCCGCAGGAAACTACCGCCATATCTCACGAACCAGAAGTCGCAACTTGATAAATGTATAGTGTTTCTAATAGGAAATTTTATGATCTTTTTAAAAGGTTCAGTGACATTTTTCCGTAGGATCGATATTTTTCAAGATATAAGCTAAAAATCGGTCGCCGGCGGCATATTTTGGCCCCCCGCCCCCCTTTTTTCAAGATGGCGGCCTTAGCGGACGGCCGATTTTGGTAAACTTTTGATATGTTGTTCTGGTAGCCTAATGCAACATGTTTCCGCAAAAAAACCTTCTATATATAGATTTTCCCAGAAAAATGCTAGATTGACTGGACTATCTCCCTGATTTTAGGTGATTATTAACTGCAGTTCGGCTAAGTCGCATCTTCCCCGAAAACAATAACTCAGAGACAACCCTAAGTTTTCAATCAACCCCAGCCGAATCGGCTGAGCCGATGGTAATGCCGGCTTTTCACGTGTTCCCCTACCTAGCCGTGGAGGAGGAGTGTTTTACACGGGTTAGTGGCTGTGCTTCGCATGGCGCGTTCCCATCGACCCTCTACCTCATTTTAAAGAAGTAGCCCAACAAATTACTGAGACTTTGGCACCTAGCGATCACTAGCATGGGCAATGCTAGGCAGCTTGATATCCAGTCCTCCTCTCCCCTAAGAACCACGAAAGCATTGTGTAATGGTCGAGGGGATGGGGAAATAGCCCAACTCACGATGACGTCTAGAATGCCCTAAAGTGGCGATCACCGGCAAGTACGCATGTACGCAACTGACCACTCCTTGGCCGCTTGTCCGCCGCTATATAGCGGTGCCCAAAAGCTCTAACCCTGACGCGGCACGCGCCAACCAAAGCACCTGCCTGCGATCACCTCGGAAATACGCGATCTCTCACGTGTGTCCGAGGTGCTCCTAGCAGAGGCGTACTCTCAAGCTAGAGTGCATCTCTGCTACAATCGTTGCACCGCGGAGAAGCCTGAACCTCCCAGCAGTGACTGTTCGGGCCGCCCGATTCGCTGAAAGAAAAACTACGAATAGTCCGCTGATATAGTTGCGGGAACTCAAAATCGGAAGCCACAGAAAAGTGCGGAAATATACTTAGGTATCCCTTTTAAACACGGAAAAGTAACAATCCAACTGACTTAACGTTTGTGTTGAACCACTAGGATTCTCCTTGCCTTTTGTCCTTTGTCTTCGGGAGTTCGTTCGCGTCCGAGTCCTGGGAGACGGCAAGGAGCTATCCCTACGGGCGCCTACGTATATTTTGACCAAAGAGAAATTATGGAGGGGGCCGATGTCCCCATCTTGAAGAGATCATTTTTGGTCGAAAATTGACGTAGATTCACAGGTAATCGACCCCAAGGAATCCGATTATAATGGTCCCGAGGCCCCCCTAGCCACCCTCGGGGGGTAAAAGGGGGAGGCACAATGTCTCCCGACTTTTGGGATCGTGACCCCCTCTTTACCTCCCAAGGGGGGCATGGGGGGTTTCGGGACCGTGAAATTCGGATTCCTTGGGGTCGATTTCCTGTTCAACCCCGCGGTCCCCTACTTCGTACTACCTAAATCAACCGAGAGAAAGACCTGTTACGGGTGGTCTGGCTAACCCTGTATAACGAAGTATTAAAAAAATATTTATTGGAGGGTAAGGATGGGGGGAGGAGAAAATATCGATAATTACAGCCTACAGCATGAATATGAGGCCCTAGTGGTGAAACAACCTCTGCCTCGCTCGCGCAGGATGGAGCGCCGCCGATGTACCGCCCGCGCGTAACCGGAAACGCGCAGAAAAATCTCTTTAACTCAAGAACGAATCGTTTCCCCAGGGTCTAACAAAGTGTAGTAGATGCAGAATTTTATGGAAAATCACCTCAATAGGTTTTTATTCACGTAGCAACGATCGCCTGGAGAGGAGAGACGAAAAAAAAAAAAGTCGAACCTTCAAAATCGAAAAAATCGATTTATGACCGCGATAAATTACGCAACTTTGCAAACAGCATTAATATTCTTGTAGAGAATATTTTTAACGTTTTTTTAGCGCAAACCGCAACACTTAGACTCAAACCGTTCGCGAGATATCGATTTTTAAAGTTTTAAAAAAATTTCAACTTTGCCCCCTGCCCCCTCCCCCCTAATTATCCGAGGGGGCTGAAATTTTGCCCAAGCATCGGGAACACTTAGTACAACATCTGAACAAAGTTTGGGCCAAATCCAGGGGGGGGGGG